CCCCCGGCACGCCGGGTGTCAGGATCCGATCACCCGTACTCCAGTCTCAGCCTAGCGGAAGGCAAATCCCAGTAAGCATCCCAATTCGGAGCACAGCTCTCACTCCTCACCTGCTGGAAAGCTCCAGGGTCAGCGTATCCTACGCCAGGAGCAGCAGTCCAGGCTGCGCCCTGCCTGGGGCAAGCCCAAGTGCTGGAATTTAGTCCCCAGACTAAGCCTCCCCTTCCCACACCTCGACAGCTTCCTGTGTAAGCCATCTGACGCCGGTAGGAGGTTTCAGTTGCTCCTTCTCTTGGAGATGAGTCCCTGCGCCCCTCACCCCTCCAGCTTTGGCTCCAGGCAGCCAGGACCGTCCGGCTGGGCCAGGACTGCAGCCACCCCGGCGTCCAGCAGTCCCTGTCCCGCGGCAGCGGCACAGCGCCAGCACACCCGATCCCACGCTTGGTATCGGCCTTGGGCTGGCTTTTCTCCTCCGAGGGGCACAGGTCACCGCACCCTCTGCAAGAGCCTTTCCCCAGGCCGCAGAGAAGGTCACCGCGCGCCAGCTCCGCCCTTCCATCCCTTCTCTGCCCCCGTACGGCGCGCGCCTCCGTGGCGGACGCACAAGCAGCACACAGCTGACACCTCATCGACCAGATCAAGAGGTCGGCCCCAGTTTCACCTTCGCAAGCGAGAAGGTCAGGGTTCCTTTCAGCCCGCCCTCAACAGAACAGGAGACACGACGGGTGAGAAAGCAGACAGACCACTGCCGCCCGGTCCACGCGCAGCCACCTCCCACTGATTCAGCCACACATCGAGGGGGCAGATGGGGAAGAAGCGAGGATGAAGGGGCAGCCATTCCAACACCCCCTCCTGCAGGAGCACCTCCAGGAGAAGGGAGATTTCATCCCGAAGCACCTACATCTCACGGTGCGTAGCGCCGTTCTTCTTACTACCAGCATCCCACTTGCAGCCTCTCCGTGTCGGAACGCCACGGAACCTCACGAGGCCACGCAGGGAGAGGCACCTGGATCTCCAGGAGTTGTAGGAGGTGGAGTTTCGCTTACACCCATCCTGTCCCTGCGTCCTGCTTGGCTCAGCCTGCCCTCAACTCCCCTCCACCACCGTCCCCACGGGCGGGACGGTCACTAGCAGTACTGCTCTCCACTTGCACGCTCACCACGGGCGTGCAGAGCTACACGGACACAGGGACGAGCATGCACATGGCGCTGCCGAGCTGGAGGGACCCAGCTGGGAAGGGTGTAACTGGGACAGAAAAAGAAGCCAAAGAAAGAAGAAATCCCTTCAAGTAATTTAAACCAGCCCGTTGCAGAGGTCAGCTGCAGAGCAGTGACCGGCTGGGCCTCGGGGTGCTAAGGCAAAAGTCGAAGTCCTGGAGGGATGGAAGAATGAGAAAGGTGTCAGTAGTGAAAGGTTAAGAGTTATTCTGTAGGTTGCTTCTTCACACTCCTGTGGTTCTCATCGCCAACTGCCTCTGGTTACTTCTGCACGCAGCTTGGCCAGGCCAGCCCACCGCAGGCAGCCGACAGAATGATGTAGAGGATGACCTGGGGAGAGAGAACAGCTGCCTCAGCGGAGAACCCTCCCTCGTCGCTCGGTCAGCTGCCGGCGGCCTGGCCATGGAACACAAACCCCAGGTCAGCAAAGCCCTGAAGAGCTTCTCCAGTGCCCTCCAGGACTTGGTGCCAGGGCCTCCTCCCACCCCGGCAGCTGCACAGGGACGAGAACCCTCCCCTCCAGCAAAGCACAGAGGAGGGTCCGGGGGTGGCAGAGCCATTCCCACATCGCCCCTCAGCGCCCTCAGGGCAGCCCCATCCTCCAGCCACGGAGCTGAGTACACGTGGGTCTGAAGAGCCTTTTCCTGCCTTAAGCCCGACCCGAGCTAGAGGTCACCGTGCGCCGTGCTTACAAGCGATACGATGATGATGACGATGGTGAGCTTGAGGTTCTTCATACACATGGCTCTAGCGAGGTTCCTGCTGGTCGTTTTGAAAGTGACGGACTGCAAGAGAAAGTCCAACAAGTCATTAATTCCTGAA